CAGTGCATACAGCTTGAATTGAAATCCTGAATAATACACAAACCTGCAAGGAAAAAAAAGCTGATTGTCTATTTCAGTAAATGTCTGATTATATTTAAAACAGTGTGTGTGTATTATTTTGATCCCTCATGCACTGTAAAGAACAGAGGTTTGAAAGCAGCATTTCAATTTTTTATAGAAAGAGTATCTAGCAGGAATATTACAATGTGAAGATTAGGTCTCACCTCCTTGTAACAAATAAATTGAGACCAAAATTAAGTGAGTTGCCAGGGTCACCCACTCAGTTAGTGGTGAAGGCAGGTTTAGAACTCAGCTCCCGTATATGTTTTTTCCCTAATGAACCTAGTTAACCCAGTAGCTAGAATGAGGAGAAAAAAATAATTTGAAACCATATGAAACTATCCGTAATTACTGCACCACAGGAGAAATTCCATTTAATGTCTGCTTTGTCATTCCTGAATCTCAAGATGTTTGTTCTCCTTCATTTTTCATTGTGCAGACAGACATTTTGTACTCCTACTGGAAAGCCGGACCTCTTATCCAAATTATGCAGTATTTTAATATAAAATTAAAGTAGGTGAAAGTGGACTGTTGGTAGCAAATCAATGGATCTTACAGAGGACTGTTGTCAAACAAGAATAGCAAAAAAGAGGAAACTTGTGGTAACTTGTGGTAAGCTGTAAGTAACAACATTAGATCCTAAATCTTGTGAAATTCCTACATAATTTGACAGGGAATTATGGCCCAAATCAGTTTCACCTTAGTGTGTGTGTGATTCTGCCTAACGGTGCAATTGTGTGATGGGGCATTTCTATGCTAATGATGAGAACCAGGTCCCCTGCTCCTTACTCGGGTGTCTCAGCCAAAATCTGTAGAAGTGGTTGGAAATTGGTGTTAATGTGGTTAAATTGGGTTGCTCTAGAAAGCACATGCCTCGTAAGTATAGTGTTGATTAGTTAATGTCTTGGCATTTTTGCATATCTGTCCACTCTGCCTTTCCTCTCTTTTTCTTGTCTTTCCCCTCCCAACTTTTTCCCTTTTCTCATTTCTCAGTACTTAACCTTCAGGTTTCTGTTTAGTAAACCTACCAAAGCAGAATCAATAGCCCGGTGCTTAATCACACTTTTTGCTGCTCAAAATGTCAGATTTGGATTTGTTTGTAGAAGGGCTTCTGCATGTCTTTCATTTTTTAGCTCTGTGCAGGATGTTCCATGCCATTCAAATCCATTAAGAATGAAAGCTTTTTGCTGTGGCTGATTGTTCTAATCTCTGTTGTTATATATATGGTGTAAATATAAAATTTCCAATATTGGAATATCAAGAGAAGAGATCTGTTCTTGAACTTTTAAATTTTCTTATCCTTCCTTCTTAAGTGAAAGCAGTAAGGATCATTTTTCTGATCTGCAGTGTTAGCTAGGGCATAGTCTACCTACCTGTAAGAGATGTGAAAGGAATGAGTTTAAGCATTCTCTTACCTCTTAGAAAATGGTAAATAAAGGACAGAATGGTATCAGGCAGCTGTGGGAACTGTGTAGAAATGAAATTCTTCTTTTGTCTTTTGGTTTGGTTTTTTTTTGGTGTAAAATAGACAAAGCAAAAGAGCATAGCCCAGAGCATCAGCTCCAGCTAAGAACTTGCAAGAAACTATCTCTTCCCTCCAGTAGTAAAATTTGTATGTTTTCAAAACTTGTTTGTGTAGTAAGTTTGAAGAGGGGAGGAAAACAAAATGGCAAGTGGAGAGTTGAATGCACATAGTACTGTGCAAAGGAGTACATGAATGTGGCTCCTGACTGATCTCTTGATCCTTGGACAAAACTGAGGAGAAAGTCTAAGAAATGCATCGTTTTGCAGTAAATTAGATCAGATTTCCGCATCTCCGCACTCAGTCTGTGAGCTGACAGTTCAGTAAAATGTTCCCTTGTAAGGTTCGCCCTCTTAGGAAAAGGGGCAATAATTCATCATTAGAATTTCAGAGTCCAGGTGTAGATGAAAACTGATGGAGCCTCCAGCGAGGCAGGGAAAGTGCACAGAAGAAGAAAATTTTATCTGAAGCCTAATTCCCTGGTTACAGCAGAGAATAATTAAGATAATATTGCTTCAAGAGTTCTTTAATGATTAAAAATCACATATGCAGAATCCATAAATTGGAGGGCAACAAATTGGAAGGATATAGCGTCAGAGATCTGTTTTGTGCATGTTGTAGTGGGAAGCACACCAGTGGCACAACAGCAGCCCGGGTAGCCACAGGAGACCAGGCCCATTCCAAGGACTTTGTTTAGATGCAACAAATCATTTGTCTGTTATTAACCCAGAGCTTGTAATTATGCAGATTGCCATAGATTTTCCTGGGCCTGGAAGTGAGATTGAGGGTTGTTCACACTATAGCAGGCAGCTCAGGGCTGGCCATGCATTACTGAACTTGCCACATTTATCATGTTGACTGATGGCAGCAGAAGCAGGTCTCAGGTCCCAGTGGTTAATGTAGTGGGTAATTAACTGTCATTTGCCTAGTAATAGGCTGATGATCAATGGTTTGTGTGGAAACAAATTCTAATCAGGTAGCTGATAAATGCTCAGGGAGCGAGAGCAATTGAAATTGGGGGAAACTATGTCCAGAATTTCAAACTGGTATTGTGGGGTTTTTATTATTATTATTAATGGGAAAAAACTATGTTCTTCTTATAAACAGCTTTATCCAAAATTAAGAATAGCTAATATAAATTTCATATGTTTGTTTTGTATGTGGTGGGGAAGAACTAACAGCGAGGAAGGCCTCCTTCCCTTTACGTAATTGAAAAATTTTAATATATCTGGTGCTTAGCTGAAGCAGCTTCTGTGGCGGTCTCTCATTTCAAGACTATGGAAATCTGCATATAGTGGACTCTGGTGCAGTAAATCTCCATCCTTCCCAGTGCTGAATGACAATTCCAAATTGTTTCACTGCTCTGCAACACACAAACTGCAGTTCTAGCCATCATGGCTTTCCACTTTTTCACGCACACAGATGCACCCCGGCAACGAGGACGTGGCTGAGGAGGGTGACACAGCTTGGCCCTAGCAGCCTCTCCAGCAATGAGCTCGTGCTGCATCTCTGGTATTCAGTTGTTGCACCTAAACTACCTAAGCATTGAGGTGCTGTCTGGTCCTCCACACTGAGCTTGAAGGTGGTGGGACCATTTTCATGTTTGTGCTTAAATGCTGCCGTTGTAGACCCTTAATGCCTGACTTTGACTATAATCATAGAGAAGAACAGCACTATGCACCTACTGTCCTTAGTACCTTTTGCAGCCTGATCTGCTTTCCTCGTACAATCGTCGTCTTCTACATAGATGTGATGGAAAATGGAGCTGGGCCTTTGATCTTTTCTAATGCAAAGCCAGCCAATGACTGCAAAGGGCAACTAAGTCTTGTGTCCTTCTTACAGACAAGGAATAAGTGGAATTTAGAAAAGTCTGAGTGAGATGTAAATAACCTCAGCAAAACACATGCATGGTGGAGGTAGAGCTGAAACAGAATGTTTTACAAAGGGAATATTTATAATTTTTCAAATTTATCTATAATTTTAGTAATCAGACTTAACAGAACTGGAGGTTGACTTGAGTCATTTTAATATTAGGTGCCGAGAATGGCCTTGTCCGAGTACTCATCTCAGTGATCATGCTAACCGGCATCTCAGACAGGAAAAAAGGGCCACAACTTTAAAAATAAACAGGCACTTATTATGTAGGCAGCATGCCTTAAGTAGAAGCAGAAGGTAAAAGGATTTGGAATTAAGTAGGCTTGTTGGTAACTCATGAAATTCAGTAAAATGGAGAGATGTGATTAAAAAACTGTGTTCATTTTATGTTACCAAACTGAATTTTCTACAGAGCACCTTTGAATTCATTAGTTTAGAACTGCTTTTAATTTGGTGTTTCCCTTGAGAGCCATTATATTTTTCTGCTGTCAGCCTGATGTTGAAGGAAAAAAGAAAACTGGCAGATGTGGCGTTTTCATCTAGTGTGCTTCATAGTTAAAAACAGCATTAACTGCTATGCACAAGCAGAGCATTACTTTTAATAATCCATCACAACTATTAAGTAGTTTAAATAAACTTAGTTTCAAAGATTGCTGCCATGTAAAGCTAACAGTTTTTTTCTTGTTCATTATAACCCTTCTATGTTACAAAAGGATGCATATGTGTTTTTTGGATTTTTTTTTCTTGTAATACACCCACTTGAAAAGTATTGAAAAATCTTTAACAAAGAGAATTTAAAAAAAATTTATATAGATGTCTGGCAAAAACAGCATTTCATATTGTTCTTGCAGTATTTTATACTTCTACTCCTGATGTGACTATATATAGTTTACAGCCTCATTTACTTTAATGTGCTACCTGAATAACATAATCATAGCAATAACTATGGTATAGGGTTGTAAGGTGCACGAACCACTAATGCTTTCTGACGATTTAAATGACTTGTTCATAAAATGTTCTTTTAATAATAGTGGTAAAGCTTTTAGCACTAGATGTCAAAAATGTGAAGAATATTGGCTTTTTCAAGTGTTATTTCTTTTCTAGCTAAAGTGTGTTTTAATAATAAATAGCACCAAAAGCCAAGGTTATGTTGCTTTCGTCTGTACGGTGGGATCCAAGCAGAAGACTGTTCCCACATATGCAAACAGCTTGACCTCTGCACAGTTATGTAACATCCCTAACGTGTTTACTATTTCTTTGTTTAGTTTAACAAGTTGTTTCTTTTATCAGGAAAGGTCAGTGTAACCTGCAGAAAAAAATACCATCACAATAGGTGCAATATTAGTCTGTCACTGCTTCAGAAAGCTCTCTCCAGCAAAAAGGACTATGCCTTTGTATTGTAAATTGGGCAGACTTGTACCACCGAAGACCAGCCCTTCCAAAGGGAGGTGTGCTGTGAAGTCAAGCAAAGGCCAGACAACTGCTAGGGAAGAAAAAAAAATTAAAAATATAAAAAAGAAAGCATGATTTTTATTTTTTTCAGTTAAGCATCTTCAGCATTATATTTCTTTCTCTATTTCCAGGTTATTTGGCGTTACAGGAAACTGTGCTGCCTGCAGTAAGCTCATACCTGCTTTTGAGATGGTGATGAGAGCGAAGGACAATGTTTATCACCTGGACTGTTTTGCATGTCAACTTTGTAATCAGAGGTAAGAGAGTTTCTGTTCCAAAAGCTAAGTGCTGATTCGGCACTGGGGTGGGCATACATTCAAGTGAAAAGGAAATATCTACCAGTAGTGGAAACCCAAGTTTGAGAGTAAGACCTGAGTACTTTTCTTGGGACTGATATAGAACATTTTTCATGACCTTGGCCTTAAATCCCACATCAATAAACAAGAATAATGTTACTTCCTTTCCTCCAAAAGAAGAGTCTGTCTGTCAAATTTAATTAATTAATATTTATAAAAGACTTGGAGATCTTTTTCTGCAGAAGAGCATAGCAGTATCATTTGTTATTATTACATTAATTTCATTTGAATTCTTCATGTTTATCAAATGTATTTCTTTTAAAGTATGTGTTATTTCTTCCCACTGCAAAAACTGTAATAATTTAAATTTAAAAGATGATGTTCCTACCATTTTCTCCAGAGCAACATTAGACTTATTATGCCATACTTTTATTTTCACATCCTACCTGTAGCTTATAAAAATCCCAAGGATCCAATTCTGACACTTTGTTCTGAAGTATCACTTGTAGGGTATAGTCGCAGAACAAAAATAAAAAATTGTGAAACTGCAACAGCTGAATTTTTCAGGGGCCAGTACAGCCAAATTTACAGCAACTACTTTCAGAAAGTATCGGATATTTCACCAAGAGCTCCATTTCTGATTCCATGAGTGTCACTAGCAGCTTTGCCAGTGACTTCTATGAAGTCTAGGAAATGAGAGAACTCATTATGTCGGCTCCTTAATGCACTTTTTTTTCAGTTATTACATGATCCTATTTAGACTTTTATAGCATTCATATTTTTTTTCATTTTCAAGTGGGAAGAAACATGAGATGTACATTTCTAGGGAAGTAACAAAAAATTAGGAAGGTAATAGTCTAACACACCAAAGTTAGATACAACTCTAAATAAGCTTTCCTAACTCACTTTGTCCTACAGTGTACTGTTTTGTAACACTATAGTAATTTAAAAATCAAACATCCCTAAAGAACCGTAAAATGTACAGCTGCTAATAAGTGTAGCACACTACAATTACGCTCTTTAAAAAAAGCCAAATTGACCTTTTTCATCATGTTGCATGGGAAATTTAAATACCAGGCAAGTAATAACCACTGCTTAAGCTATATAATAATGCAAAGTAATTATAGGTTCTAATGCTGTTTAAAGTCCTATATTAATTTTGTCTTGCCACAGAACTAAGAGGCTGTGTTCCGAGTAGCGCAGGCAGAGACTCCACTAATACCCACTTAAGTAAGACACACACACACTCCTAGGTTTCGTTTCTTAAACCCTTCACATCCCCGTTTTTTTCAAACCACAGTTCTAGTATCATTATTAAAGTGCCTAATATATTTCTGTTGTTCGCTTCATTTATTACATGCCATAATGGGGCTGCATATCTTTAGTGTTGGTTATGCACAATTAGCACTTAGTTATTGTCTTGTCACTTCAGCCCATACAAGACAAACTTCTTTAATGTAAGAAGTCAGCTAATCTTCATCAGTCAAGCAAAGCAGACAATGTTTGTTACCCTGAGCACAGAAGATTTTCATCATAGTTAGCACTCTTGGATCTGAGGAAGTGAACTTTTTTTCCCCACCCCGACAAAAGCGAAGCTGTTTGTGATTATTTTTAATATTCCTTTTTTACCATTATAAGTGTTAACTAATGTACAAATTCACTTTGCGACTAACATGCATCATACTGTGCCCTAGGGCCACTGATCCCTCTGGAAAAGTGCTTTTAGGTTCTGCTGAAATGGAGCTTTTCTGGGATATGTAATAATTCTCAACCTTGTCATTCCCGAGCCTTCAGTCTAGTCTTTTATTTGATTTTTACTTTGCATGTAGTTTGGGCAAAGGGTTGCCGAAATAATCTTACAGGAGTCTTAGGCTGGGCTCAAAAGAATTGATTTACATGAAATACAGTCTAGTTTATCTAGCCTAAACAGGGAACAGTTCCAGAAGTTTCAAAGAATTTCAGAAATTCTCAAAAGTGGCCTTAATCCTGACTATATTGCAGTAGCTCTCAAGGAGCCTAATAAAACAGACTGCCTGTAGGGTACCTTTCTTCCTCATGATTCGGGGCTAGTGGCACTCTGAAGAATTAATTTTGTTGTTTTTTATAATAAATCCTATTTCATGGATGCTCCAGCTTAGCTCTTCTGTGGTTCCTATGGCAAAGCATCCCACTGACTACATTCTCTCATTAATAAATGGCTTTAAATCTTTTGTTTTTCATTACTTAGATAACAATAAAAAATAGAAATGCTAGACACCTGACCCATCACCAGTTTTGGAGGTTTCTTATATCTGCTATGAAACTTCTTTTTATTTTCCTTTGAGCTGAATAATCGTGTCACTCACCATGCCATAAATAATTTCTGTTGCCTTTTTCAGGATCCTTCTTTCTTCCTCTAGTTAAGCTAATCAACACCAAACAGCAGATTCTGAGTGAGGAGGAGTTTATAAGATAACAGTTTCATTTTCTTTCTTTATTTCATGCTGTCCCTTTTATGCAAAATAATGTTCTTGATTTTTTTTAGTTCTGCTCTTCCACTCCAGCCACTATCCCTAATGGGGAATTTATTTACTGAATAGAATATTTTTATTTACAGACACATCAGAGATACCCAGAAGTAACCAACAGAGGTAGCAAGGCTCACCAGCTATTCCAAGATGTGTATGTTTGACCTTATTCCCCACCTTCACATTCTCTTCCCTCACTAAATTTTAAATCCTTTGGGTCATTCTTTATACTGACACAGTACAACATAACTGGAGTAGTATTGCAGAGTATATAATGCTCTCTGTTTCATTCCATATTTCAGATTTTCAATTATCATCTACCATTTACGTTTTTTCCTTGCAGAACATATGCAAGTTCATGAGTAGGCTAAAGCATTTCTTCAGTTTGCATTAATTTGTCTTTGCCAGCATTGAATTTATTCTGATGTTTTGTGCCTGGCTGTACCTTCCAGTGCCTTCTGCCTTCCAAGTTAGCTAATAATCATAGTAACTCACATCACGCCGATCCTTGGGGCAGCCTGTGTTCAGGCTTGCTAGTGCATGACCCTCATATTCCTGCCTTTTACGTAGTTGATCCTGGCCCAGCAAGAGAGGCCTGCCCATTTTTGCCTAGTGCTTCTTGTGAAAGAGTCAGTGATTTTTCTGCTTTTATGTGCAATTTCACTGTTTGCTTTTTTATTTTTCAGTATCTACAACTCACCATCCAGCTTATGTCTCAGTGTGGGTGGTAGTTAGACCTGCTTGATTTCAGGGGAATTTTGTTCAGGCCATAAACTCCATCTCTGAACTAAGTTATAATGTGCCTGTCCCATTTATTGGCCTCCTGAAGGCTAGATTTTCAGAGGCAGAGGAAAAACATGTTGTCTCGCATACTGTATTCTTGGAAGACAGACTGTAGACAGGACTGTAGACATAGACAGGACTGAAAGGGATCTCCTGAGCCACTGAGACTATTCCCCTGATGTCTAATATGCACTGTCTTGTATTTTCCCTTTCATAAAGCTATTCTGCTCTGGGATCTAATTGCTCCATCCAGCCAGTTTTCGACATGTTTTTCCCATTTTTTTCCTGATATTAATGCTTAAAGCTGTAGGGATTTTGTGAATATTAAGCTCTGCTCCTAGCCTAAAGGTTTTAGCATCCCCTTATCTTTCATGTCTCTGTCCAGCTTACTCCTAATTTGAAGTTTTTCCATCTCCTAAACACCCGCAGAGCTTAGTGACAGTCATCTTAATGGTGTGAGCGTTCCCCTTTCTTCTCCGTAAACATATTAAACTTCTTCTCAGAAGCACTTCACCTCACATTGGCAGTAGCCCCAATATAGTTGGTTTCTGTAGAAAATTTGAAAGGAAAAAAATGGAAACCACTGGAAAAATAAACTTGTAAACAGACACTGCCTTTCACACTTTGTCAGGTTGTATGTATGTGACTAGCAAAATGGAGTGGAAAATCTTGTAAGTGGGCTCAGCTGTATCTTTGCTTGACACTTTTGACTACAGCGATGATCTCAGTCTGCCTTCGGCTTTCCCACTTTCCGGAGTTTCTGTGTTCTTCCTTTCACTCTCTGTCGACTGCTTTAGCAGCTTGTTCCATACTTCTGGGATATTTTCTCTCTGCTGTCTGAAGTCAACTCTGGATATAGTTTAAAACCCCCATCTGCTAGCACTGAAAGATGTTTAAATCAACTGTTCTATCTTTCTATCTGAAACAGCCTTTATTTTAATGGGAACTGAACTGAAAATGGTTACATACTAATTCAAACCACTGTCTTGATGTAGCTGTAAACACCTCCAGTATAAACTGTAAAATGCCCACACAATGCTCCCTTTGTTCTCTGTCAAGTGAGGGGGAGGGATTGCAATGCCAGGGACATCCTTATTTCAAATGCTAACATTAGATTTTCACAAGTGAAATTTTATAAATTCTGAAGACCTGAATAACTGCTTATTTTCATTGAGTGTCTCTAAATTTAAATAAAAAATAACTCATTTTCCATATCTACTTTCTCAGAAAAATATAGTAAATGAAAAGCACACCAAGTTGAGGTTTGTTGTAAGTTGAAATAAGATTCTATGTGTATATACTACATTGTACTGGTATAAATGTTCAAATCCAGGCACAGCTTCCACTTTCCAGCCTTGGATAATAAATGGACATTTTGACAGAACCCTAGGATTAGTAAACCATAGGTGAAGACTGATGAAATGTGATTTAAAAGAGTGTCTTTGTTCTCTTAGTGATGCAGGTAGATTAATATTAATTTGAGTTATCCTGGAAACTCAAAAGAGCTTTTAAAAAAAGGGGAAAGGAGGAAAAGAAGCAGACAGGTTACATCACTGAGTGCACAAAACAGAGTAGAAGGGTGTGGGTGGGGTAAGTCAGAACTTTCTTTATCCTTAAGGAAATCAATTAAAAGTTTCCAGATTTTGATTCTTTCTTACAACAAAAAAGATCTGACATTACCAGAAGAGGCACTTCACACACAGCCATCTTTGTTCACAGCAATATTTCTTTTGCTTTTTTAAGAAGTCTTTGATACCTTGACACACGTCCTGTACATTAGAAAAATTACAGCAGTGAGATCTCCTCAAATATCTGTTCTGAACAATGAAATTACTATTTGTCAAAATGCAAGTTTTATACTTCTTGTGATTAGTCTAGGCACACCTTCCCCTTCCAAACAAGGTGATAACAGAGGTCATTTTGTAATATAAATGGCCTTCCTTTTGCCATTGTAAAATATAACAGGAGTTCTAGGATGTAGGTTAATTATAATGGTCATTCTACTAATGTCACAGTCGTGTCAAAAGTACTATTATCAATTTATGGTGGTAAGTCCAATCTGGCATGTTAATGCAGCCTATTGTATATTTTTCGCTGTTCATCTTGCATGCCTATTAAATAAATTGGGTGAGGGTTTTAGGGAAGGCTGAAGACTACCATCTGCTTGCTAGAAGAGTAATAGTCTTGCCTCATTATATACTCCTAACCCAGTGGCATCTCAATATGCTCCTTGACTCCATTTGATGTATATGCCCAAATTGTGCCCTGATTTATATCCTATGCCAATTCCATAAAAAAGCCAACATTTGCTGGAGGTAGAAGGCTAGACTTGAATTTACCCTTCCATTTTAAAGCTGAGGCAGGTTTAAAATCTATAGTGTGGAAAAGCAATCTGAGGCGGCTGCAAGATTTAGCTCTTTGACTTCAAAAAAGACTAAATCTGCTTTTGAGAGTCAAATGAGGTTGAAAGTGTGGATGGACATAATTCGTCCTATTTCAGCCATCTAGTTGTCTGGTCTCATTGTACTTAGGAGCTAGCATGCCACCTTTAAATGCTTTTCACCTGCTGCTTACCTCTTGTCACCTAATGAGTGCATAATTCACACATTTAATACACAGGGACACATGCAAGCCTCACCCTCTTTGCCAATGTGTGTCAGTGACTGAACTTGCACAATAGATAAATAGTTGCAGAATTTGGACCATAAGTATCGCAAGTAACAGGTTTCCCCCAAAGCACAGAGAATCACCCCCCAGTGTGCAAACGCAGCCCTAGATGAACTCAGAGAGTGACTTACCAAGCAAACAGGCCCCCACTCCACAGCTTATCACGCTGCCAAGCATGTCTAGACAGGCCACTGGCAGCCTCTCCACGGGACAGCTGTATGCTTGGAAGGTAAATGATTTGTGGAACTGCGTATGTTTAAAGCCACTCATGCATAAAGCTGTCAAATGCCATGTAGACATAGGTAGAGCATTTCTGGCTCGACATATTAACACAGCAAAAGCAAAAGGCATTGACACTTTTTATTGGGAAAGGCATCCTGACTCCCTCGTGTAGCTGTTGTAGTTTAATTCAAACTATGGGCTGAGAAACAAAATCCTTCAGGCAGGATTTTGATGCAAGCAATATTGCAAGAAGTTACATGTGAAAGTTCTGCTGTGCAAGTGAATTGCACTTCAGTAGGGTATTTTTCATTTACTAAATATTTTAAATAAATTAGTCTGCTAAGCTCTGTATTATGCTGGAACTCTAAGGAATATATAGCTGCTAACATTCAGAGTTCAGAGTTAGTGCTTTCTGCTGGGCAAGCAGCAGTGGTTGTGTCTCCCACTGATGCCTGACCCATGGGGAGAGCTGGTCTGCTGCATAGTGGCCCTCTGATGTGGTGGGCACTGCTGGCCAGATGTCCTCTGCTCAGTCCCCATCAGTAATCCTTGGGCTAACTGTAATGAAGTGACTGATTTGTCACAATACCTATCTTCCCCTGCTTTAGTCCATATTAATCCATATGTTCATTTAAGAGTAACTATGAAAGACTATTTTGTATATTTTTTTAAATATGACTTCTCTGGGAAGAGTCCTGACTTAAAGATTTCGGGATCATTCCATAATCTCTATTTTTGATCATCATCAGCAGCAGGCAGTAATCCTATGGAAAAAAAAGTCCACAAATAAGCAAACCAATTTTCCCTTAAGAGCAGAGCTAATTCTTTTCAATCCACTTTTTTATTACACTATTTTCCCTCTATCTATTTAGCTAGCATAAGGATAAATTTCCAAAGCTACCCAGTTGGAAAATAAATGGGTTCACTGTTTGTCTAGCATTCCAATCTTCACAAATGTAAATCAGTCCAACTGCTACTCATTTAAACCTCCAACTTCACAAAACATTAAAGGACTGCTTTCAATACACAATTTAATCTGCGACAATTCACCAAGATTTCTGCTTGAACATCATTAGAAATTGACTATCTGATAAAGAGACACCACTATCAGAGGTCAGGCAGGTCAACCTGTGTCATTTACATAGTTTTACTGTGTCAACTACAGCAGGCACCACTATTTGAAGGTTAAATTGTTACAATTAAATACATATACAGCTATTCCCATAGCTACTCTGTTGTTAAATCTACCGTAAACAACACAAGCATTTATATCTGACCCTAATTGTGTCCAAGATGTCACCATTTGGAAATTATACAAAAAAGGACATTATAATTCGTTACACATTAAACAATACTTTACATAGTGAGATCCATAATTAGCTGGTCGAAACTGGTTTCATTTATTCACATCAGTGTTAAGGGGTTCATTTAGGTTACTTTCTTTCATTTTAATTGGAATAATGTGAGCAGTGCCTCCCAATATATTTTATAACTGGCTAGTTTACTGTAAACAAAGGCTTGTAACCCTGCCAAGGCTGTCACTAAGGAAACTTCTTCTATGCATTGGCCCTATTCACTTGCTTCCTAAGTATCTTCAAGAAGATTTGCTTTGTCGGGGTGAAGGGTTGAGGGGGGTGTCAATGAAAAGACTTCTTATGTTCAAGCATACTGCTTAGCTGAGAAATCCTACTTTCCTTGAAGTTTGAAGCCAGGCAGCCAGGAGTGCTAACATTACATGATTTTCCTACGCATCAGAGAAAATAAAATTAAACATCTCCGTAGCATTTTGTAGCAATCAGGTCATTCTGATGCACATAATAGTATAACAAGGTAGGTATACTGATATCACAAGAGAAAGAGTGGTTAGCTCAGTAACTACATTTATAATCAACTCCTACAGGAAAAAAAGAAAAAGGTTTCTCTGCGTACCTGCCTGTGTGTCTCTAGTTTGTACCACAATGAATGTAAAGTTGTGTGTGTGCTAGAAACAGTTTTCAGAACCACTGGTTTAAATCAATTCTAGTAAAATATCCAACAAGAAATTCTTACTGGTACACCTACACAAGACAAATGTAACTTATTGCAGATGAGCTTCCTACTGCATACGATTACTTTGTTTTCCTTCTGGTTTCTGTGAAAGCAGGAAGTTTACTTTTCACTCAACTCAGTAGCCTGGGATATTTATTCTGTTTTATCTGTGTGCTAGTGACCTGATCCAAGACTCCCACAGTCTTTGGCTGGGGAAGCAAAGGCCCTTGAATGCACTAGGTTTTGTTGAAAGCCCAGAATTAATTCTGATAGCGGAGCAATTCCTCTGCTGGGCTTTCACAGGCATGCACATGTGTTTGCATGCACTGCGACAGACAGCAGAGGTGCAAGCCGTGCAGTCAGTACAGCAAAGCTGTGAGCACTTGTTGTACAATCCTTATGTGTATGATTGTATCACATCATTCATCCTGAAACTACCTTTTTTTTTCTTTTTTCCTTTATTATTGTAATTTCAGATTTTGCGTTGGAGACAAATTTTTCCTGAAGAACAACATGATTCTGTGCCAGACAGACTATGAGGAGGGTTTAATGAAAGAAGGTTATGCACCCCAGGTTCGCTGATCTGATGCCACATCATTAAGAATACAAAGCACTATGTTCTTTTATCTTTTCTGCTCAACATGTATATAAGAAATGACACAGGAACCTACTGAATAGCATAGATATAGGGAGACAGAATGGTTGCGTGAAATAAAAGGCGGACTGCATCTGTATGTAGTGAAAATTGCTCCAGTTCAGAGTTGAATGTTAATTAAAAAGGTACTGTATATACAGCTGGATTCTTTTTGCTTGCTCTTGGGGTTTTTGGTTTGTTTGTTTGTTTTTTTTTCTTTTTGTGTCATTTGGCATGAGATGTTTATTTTGGACTATTGTATATAATGTATTGTAATATTTGAAGCACAAATGTAATACAGTTTTATTGTGTTACCATTTGTGTTCCTGTTTGCTTCTTTGTATTGTTGCATTTAGTACAATCAGTGTCTATACTTACTGTATATTTATGCTTTCTGTATCTACCAGCTATTTTAAATGAGCTGTATCTTTCTAGTAAAAAGAATTAAAGAGCAAATCCCAATCATTATGTTACACTTAGAGCTTAAGAATACTGTTTACATTAAAACTATTTAGAAAACTAGTAACTCTAGCAGCACCTGCTGCTAATGATGCTGTGGTTAAGGGTCTATCAGCACTTCTGTTATAAGCCTCTATTTTTAAGGGGTTAAGCATCTGCTGTTTAATTGCATAGATTTTCCTCAAAGAGCACTTTTATTTTACTACAAAATTTTGAAAAACAAGTCTGACTGGTTTGGGATATATTAAAAAAGGTGCAAAAGTTAATGATTTTGGGTGCTGCTTTTGGGCCCTACTTTTGGGCCTCTTAGGCATTCAAAATGCCTAGATCTGATTTTTGATTTAGCTGGAAATTAAGCCCTAATGCAAACCAGTGCCTCTGGGTTTCTTA